TGTAGTACAGATTATAGATAATTACCTGTGATATTCAAAGCTTAGAGTTTAGTTAGGTTTTTCAAGATACACAGAGATGTATTTGAGATAGATAGGCTTTCTTCAAACCTTTCAAAGACCTACAGAATATGGCATTTAAAATGTTTTAGGGTTTTTATTGACAATGAGACATAATTGCTCCTGGCAACACCACCTGTGTCAGAAAGAAAGATGGACATTGAAGAAACTCTATGGAGTTTACTTCCAATATGGCAAGACTAGCCATTTGGACAAGATACTGCTCTTGTCTGGACTGTTTGACTTTATGGTGTATAAACTGGACATGCAGGACCCACAGAAAAGTGACTGCTGATTCAAGATGGACATTGCTACAGAGTTCCTGCTTCATGGAAGAGTCTGCCAGACAGTCTGCAGGACACAGAGAAAAATGATGGACAAGCTGACAATAAAAGAAGACAGATTAAAGTTTCCCGCTTTGCTGAAGAGTCTGCCAGACACACTATGGCCTATGGGCTGAAGATGGAAGATTACAAAAGAACTTCGGGTGATCAGGCAGTGAGTTGTCTCTGTCATTTCCAGAGTTTATATATTATCCTTCTGTGGTCTTTGAGGGACTTGAAGACAGAGAGTTATGGTTATAGTTTTCCTTAGTATTAAAGATAAGTTACTTAGACTTTAGACTCACAAATATAGGATAGATGATAGAATAGTTTCTTAAATCTTGCTAAATGTTAATGGACTAAATATTGTTAACTGTGATTCTTATTTGATAACTGTTGTGTGATATATTTTGCTATGTTAAGTTTAAAACCCTTCTTTTTATTTTAGACAGAAAAGAGGAGATGATGGGAGATGTCATTCTGTATATGTTTCTCATACTGCGTTAATGAATAAAGCACTGTTGGCCAATAGGAAAGTAAGATAGGCGGGAATAGGAGACAAGGGGGAAAGAGGAAGTAGTAAGGAGGAGTCAAGATGGAGAGTCTGGAGAAAGCAGTATGCCGGCCGGCTCCCCGGTAAGAAAAATACATAGATCAGCAGAAACGGGTTAATACTTAAGACAGAGCCAGCCGATAAGAAACTAGTACCTGGCCAGTAGCATTGTATCCAATACAGAGTCTCTGTGCATTATTTGGGGTTGGCGCGGCAGCGGGACAAGACCAGCGGTGGTAGGCAGAAAAACCCTACTCGTTACAATGGGATAAGATCTTGAAGGAGTTATGGATGAATATAATCAAAATATATTTTGTGTATGTAGAACTTCTCAAAGGATTAATAAAACCAATTCAATTGGGTAGAAAAGGTGAACAATGAAATTGGGGAGTATTAGTTTTTATTCATAAGTTATTTCATATTTGAATTTTATCATAATAGGATTGGGTTAATTAGATGAAGATTTCATAAACTTAGTCTGTTCATAAGTATATGTTTTCTTAATAGTATTACTTATAATGGCTAAAAAATAATATTCTTTTTGCAAACAGTGAAAATAGAATGAAGTTTATTTCAGAATCAGTTTAATTTATGGCGTTGTAATTGGTATAGCACACACACCACTATCTCTTAGTGTTCCTCAGGCATTTTCTCGAATAACTGAACCTGAATTAAGATCACATGACACATCAAATTAGAGTAAATGAATATTTACAAGTATTTTATTCATTACTTTGCATATTTCTTTATAATCTTTTCTAAATCAAAGTTCATTAACTATACCCTTTATAACAGGAAAGCAAATTCCAGCAATTGATACTCCAGGGTTCACAGACAACTAGTTATAAAGCCTTACCTTGTAAAGACTCTCTTTCACATAATGAATTTAGTTCACATAAATAAATAAATCACCTGTATAGAAAATAGTGCATTTGCTGGCAACCGAAGCATTATCTTTTCACAAGGCCTTGTAAAATACAATTGCTTTTAATATGAAGTCTCAAAAATCTCAAAACAGCTTCCAAACATTGCCATTTTTGAGTTTCCTATGAAAGCTGAAAGATACTCAGAGCTGGAAAAAGTTGAAAATCAACTGACAGAGTCACACTCATGTAGACTTTTGGACTTGGACATGTATTACACAAGAGAAGTGGAGTACCTCTCTGTCTGTCTGTCTGTCTGTCTTATCTTTCCTGCTGAATTGTTCTGGCAGCAACCTGTGATAGAAACCTATGAGACACTTTACATTTTTAAAAAGTGTTCAAATTTTGTTTGTGTGTTTTGAGACTCTGTGGATGATACTCTCAGGATTATTTTGTATTGGTTGTATGCTTTATTTATTTTGTTTCTAAATGACACTTTCCTCAGTTGATTATCAGTTTTCCCAAGATTAGACACTTGGCCAATTTTATTTTTTTGCTGTTTCCTCAGAACCTTAGTATTGTTGGCACTCAGCTAATAACTTGTGCATTGAAGATAGCATGATCACTAATGAACATTACAAGTTTCTTACTATGGATTGTAACTCTTCTAGTTTCATTTCTGTTGCTATGATAAATATCTTAGCAAACAGCAGCTCAGGGGAAGAAGGATTTGTTCAGCTTACAATTCAGGTTATACTCTATCATTGAGGGGGAAGTCAAGGCATGAACTTAAGCTGTTACATCACATTCACAATGAAGAAAAGGTAGAGACACACACGTGTGTGAGGACCTAATTCCTTACCTTCTTGATGTCATCTAAATTTCTTGTCCTTATACTGTTTAGGAGCCCCTGTCAGGAGGCTCTCACAATGGATTGGGTCTTCTCATATCAATTAAAAATCAAGACAGTGTCACGCAGACAAGCCTAAAGGATCTAGATAATCTGCTATTAAGACCCTTGGCCAACACAATTCATACTCCATGTTTCTTGTGTGTGTGTGTGTCTTTGTGCTTTATTTTTTAAGAGAGAGAGAGAGAGATGAAGAAACATCAAGTTAGATGGATCTGGGAGGAGATGGGGTAGAGAAAAGAATAAACTATGTTGTATTAACTTCTCAATAAATCAACAAAAACATAAAGACTCTTGCCAGGTGAATCTAGGATGTGTCAAGTTGACAGTAAAGCCTAACCAGCAAGGCTTCCAAGTATATTACACACACACACACACACACACACACACACACACACACACACACACACACATTTAACCTTCTCTGTAACCTTACTAGGTAGGTATTCCTCATATTGATCTTATTTTTATGAGCGAGAAAACCAAGTCCCAGAGATGCCAAGTACCCTGCCTCTAGTCACAAAGCTAGCTGTAGATGGAGCTGGATTAGTTTTCGATTGGATAGTTGAGTCTTTTCATGTAGAATGGTGGTGACTGCAAAGAGAATTAGTGGCTGGGTAGATACAAGATTGTACCTAATGGTGAATGTCTTGGCAAAGGTTGATTCAGCCCTGAATTTAGAGCATTTCCTGTTTTGCAGAGACAGATGCTGTTCAGTGTGTGAAAGGGGTGGGGTTGGTAGCCCTCATAGTGGTTCAGGTGTATGCATGACACCACATATAATGTCATTGAAAAAAGTGATATGCTTTGCTTTAGAACAGAATATTGTTTATAAAGTGATTTTCACCTTTTAAAGCATTTGATGTACTTTATCTTACAAATTACACTGTGAGGAAGCATTGGATTTCCACTTTGCTAAGATGGGGGAATAGGAAAGGCTGGATCATGTACACTGTGCCAGGCATATGATGGGACCTGAGGGTTTGTTTTCCTGTTTATTTGTTCTTGGGTATTGGAGTGATTCCTAGGTGTCTAGAGTGACAACTCTGACAATTATTTGATTTTTTCTTATTTTTAGCTATTAATAATTGTGGACACCACATAATGTTTCTCAGTCCTAGAAGTTGCCTACCTATACAAAGTCATGTATTTTTGTGAACCTTTTGTTGCTCCCAAATAAATTTTATGTTATGATAATTGTTCTTTGCTTTGGAGATAAAAATGGTTGAGTTTACACAACTAGATGATTAGTTACCTTTGTTCAGTAATTAGAAAATTTCAGAAATCTGACAGTTCAGATCCAGTCATCATTTTCTACCTACCCTGCATATAGTAGCAGGGACCTCCTATCAGATCTTGTCATCCTTGTTTTCTGGAATGGAATTGCATTTCTGAGAGCAGATTGGAATGATGAGTCTGGATAAGAAGGAGGACTTTCACCCAGTAGTGTATACCCCAGCAAGAGGACCTTAAACTCAGGAGGCAGCTACTTTGAAAGTACTCCAGTGTCTTGTATCCCTCTGTGTCTTTCACTCTTCTCCATGTCCTCCCCTGTCCTTCATGTCCCTTTGTATGTCCCCCATGTTTCTGTGTCTGCTGTGCACTGTGTCCTGACTAGATTCCCATATATCCTCACTCTCTCTTGTGTCTCTTTTTGTCCTTACTGTGTCACTTTGCATCCCCTTATGCCCCTTTGGTGTTCCCTCCATTGCTTCTCACAGCCTTCTACTGGTGGGAATCAATGTGAAGAGTGTACACTGAAAAGGGCCCATTGGCATTCTTTGATGAGAAAACAAGATACTTTGACAGCCAACATCCCTTGAGCAGTCCACCTTCACACCTGACTTCTTTTGTACACACTGGCTCCATCTTTCTGCTCTGTGTATAAACTCATGTAGTGTGCTCATTCTGTATGAGTGATATCATTAGTCACCAGTCTTAGACACCTTAGAAGTGTCAGAGAAGCAGGGCACCTCCATATCTGTCAGCTTCAAGTAGCCTGGCCTCTGGTTCAAGCATTTTATCAATATCAGCATCATTCTTGAAAGTGAAGTTATGCATAAATGCCTTATGGAATTCATGGGGGGTAAAGAGAAGTATCAAAAGTCTTCACAATATTGCCAGTGTGGTTGTTCTGATAGTAACAGTGGCCACTGATATCTTTGATTTCTACATTGTCTTCCTTTGTCCATCTCCATGTGTTAGGAAGCATCCTTCAACTCCAGGGACCAGGCTAATATTAACATTTCTTTCTGTGGAGACAAAAATTCCCACAGGAAAAGAAAGGTAGTTACCTTTTGTCATGACGATTCCTGCCAGTGTTTTGTGGCGGGCATACACAGACGTCAGACCGACTGTCAGTTCACGGAACTTCTGTGTAACCAGCTGGGCCACAGAGTCTGCAAAGTCCTGTAAGACACAAGCGTCAGTGCTCTTTGATGCGCTGGACAGAAGCAACTTGTGACAGCTGGCTATTGCACACCCCTTTCCTCAGCTCTGCCTTGCATAGTCCTCCAGGGGAGCCCCCACTTGCCTGCTGCCTGCTTCTCCCTGGTTCAGGATGCTAGGAAGGAGTTGCATGTGAGTAATTAACCCCCAGCATTGCCTTTACTGGAAGTCATTGTGCCTCTGTATTTGGGCAAGTTCCTACCTCCTGTCTGAGAAAGACCCTGCTCTACATCTGGTAGGTCCCTGTCCTGGGTCTGAGTAGGTTACTTCCTTGTGTCTAAGCGGGTCCATACCCCATGTTTGAATAGGTCCCAACCTTGTGTCTGAACAGGTCACTACCCTGTGTCTGAGCAGGTCCCTGCCCTGTGCCCTTTACTGAGCAGGCAACCTTTACATGAAAACATACAGTTCCTTCCTATCCTTGTTCCACAAAGCAGCAATCTCAGAGGAGACATTCAGGTGAAACTTGATGGGAGACATCCTGAAAGAATTGAAGGGGGATTTGTATTCATTATATTGGTTTGTTTTCTTTTTAGACAATAGTTTTCAACCTTCCTAATGCTATGGCCCTTATACAGTACTTCATGTTGTGGTGACCTCCCTGACCAAAAAGTTATTTTGTTACTACTTTATAACTGAAATTTTCCAACTGTTATGAATTGTATTGTAACTATCTGATATACAGGATATCTGATACATGACCCCAAAGGGGTTGTGAACCACAGATTGAGAACCACTGTTTTAGAATCAGAGACCAGTGTTTAAGTGTGAGAACCCCTCAGGCTACTCTTCTGGAGAACTGATCACCACAGCTTGTGTCATAACCTCTCCTCCTACCTTCAAACAGATGAACACAGCTGGGCGTTGGTGGCACACACCTTTAATCCCAGCACTTATGAGGCAGAGGCAGGAGGATCTCTGTGAGTATGAAGCCAGCCTGGTCTACAAAGCAAGTTCCAGGACAGGCTCTAAAACAATACAGTAAAACCCTGTCTGGAAAAACAAAAGCAGATCAGATGAACACAAGAACACAAGTATTCACACATGAACACATATAGCACATAGTAAACATAGCATACACATGCACACACATGTACACACAAATATACATGTATTCACAATATGCAATGAGTACTGTACACAAGCAGGCACATGTGTATACACACATACACACAAGTGCATACACACCTAACTTATCCTAAGGCCAACTCACGTTTCTATTAAAGCAGCTTATGTACACAGTAAGTAGCAAGGCCTAGAAAGTGTGACTCTGTGGCCACCACTCCTCTAGGTCCTGCAGCTGCAATCATGCATTCTAATTATGGAACTCCATGTCTTTTCATTAGGAAATCTTGCATGGTGTGACTGTCACATGCAGCGTAGAAACTTGGTTGAAATCCCAAATCTGAAGCCCATGATCTGGGATAAGTCATTCAAAACCCCTGAGCTCCATTTAACCAGTTTACAAGGTCATCCTTTTAAGTTTTCATCTGATCATGTTTTGGGAACAATTAAGTGGATTATCACTTCTTAGATGCTTAGTGCAGTGCATCAAACTTGGTAAGTGCTCAATAATGATGCTGCAACTGTTATTATTATTGTCCCTTGTCTTTGAAGGTATTGACCAAATCTTTATGCAACCAAATAAAAATATCAAGAATCAAATCAGCTGTTTTTTTTTGTGATTTGGATATTAATGCTTCTGTCATGTGCACATTGATAATTGTGCAGGCAACTGGTGTTTAGACATCTGTTATATAAAACTAAGAGTTAAATTGGCAGGTTAAAGATTTCATTTGTATGTACTAAAATGTGTTCATGTGCAAATGGGGCTGCCTAAGGAAGCAATCCTGCCCACACAAATAACCTGACATTTCCTGCCCAATTCTTTATTGATAAAGGCAGGGCAATAGGGAGGGCCTAGGACTTCTTTTTTCCCAGCATAGCCTCTGGGATTTGAAGGCCTTTTTTCCTTTCTATTGTTACTGTCATGGCAGGTGCTTGTGTTTTGAAATGCTTTGTAAATCACTATGGAAACACTGTAAAGGAAAGATACTCCGCAAACTGGGCTTCCCTTAAGTGGCTGTAGTGTTGGGTAGGGAAGGAAGAGGCAAGCCCTAAATTTTCTGGAACTTCTTTTTAGATAGTTTCTTCCCATATCCTCTTTCATTCAAGCTGCTTGGTGAGAGACCATGACCGCCAGGGGTTTGCCAGAAAGAATTTTAGCAATAAATCCTGGATTGGCTTGAGAATGCCCTGTCCTTTTATGTCTTAGAGAGTGAGGGCCACAGTCTACATTTTTAGACACTTTGTGTGCTAAGACATGGTGCTGGGGAATAACTATAACTGGGGCCTTAGAATTGTAGAATCTCAGTGAGTCACAGTTCTGGAGGCCGGGGCCCAAGGTTCACATATCAAAGGGCTGTGCTCCCTTGGAGGGTGTTGGTAGAAGATCAATCCTATGTTCCCATCTGGTCAGAGTATTGAAGAAAGGCTTTGAAGGTGATGTTTGATGTAAACTGAAACTTGAAGGAAGAGAGTAGGATTTCTAGTGTTTCCTTCCTCAATTTTCTATTTTTCAAGTAAGAAAATGTATTTGTTCTCCTTTCTCCGCTCAACCCTTGAGCACATCAGTAGATATGCTACTGACACACGTGTCCTGAACTTCCATCATTTGGGAATGCCTTTCCTACCCCAGGGACCTCAATCACATCCTGGCATCTCCACATGACATTTGCCTTTTTATCTTGGGAGTCAGTTTTTAATTTTTTATGCATGTTAATCTCGTTCCCAAGTCTTTCAAAGAGCAAAGCATGCTTGTGTCTTCTCTAAGATCTCTTTCTTGGCACTGGGCATTGTGTCTTCCTTAGAGTTATTTAAAACAGCATATTCATTTGTCCTTTCTTTCAATCTTGAAATATTTCAGGGTTCAAGGATGATAACAAGGCCTACCAGGAGACATTTCTTAACTCTTTTTTATGTGCCTGATAGAGCTCCTGCTGAAGTACCCAGCACAAGATTCCCTCCAAACACTGAATTATAGAAAGACCAACTTCATTTTGGAAATCTGAATATCACTCTGTGTCTCTTACGGATGGCAACACAAACAGACTACAGAGACTTGGAGCCTTTGTATGTATCATCTCATTAATCCTTCCAAAAAGAGTACCGTCTTTATCCCATTTAATTACTTAAGTGATGCCACCTAAGTCACCTGGCCAGGATGTGACAGACACAGAACTTAACCTCCATTCCCAATATGAGGCTTTCCATGCTAAATTGGTAACTTAATTGCTCCAGCAAGAAGCAAGATTCATGTCTTAAGACTTCCCACAGACTTAGTTCTATCTGCATACCCTGTTTGTAACTGGACATAACTGAATCTATACTGTCATTGTGAGGAGGGTTGGGGTGTACACAGAAGGCCCAAGATCCCTTGACACCCTCTGGGCTGGTATCCCAGGATGCTTTGCACCCATTATGAGTTAATTAGCCCTGAGCCGCAGTGATCCCCTAATGGAGTCATTTGAGGAAATGCTGAAGCAGAACAAATCACATTTGGTTCGGATCTCAGCATTTCCACAGATGATGGGTTCCTCGACTCACTTGGTTTGGCAAAGCACATGGGCCGATGGGACTTCAGGTGCTATTCACAGAGTGACAGAGACCTCTAGCCAGCACAGATGGCTTAGGATTGAGAAAAACAGCATAGTGAGACAGTTTGTGCAGGCGGAGTTTCCCTTATCTGGTTACCTCCAGGAGGCCTGAGATATAGTTCCCAATTATTAGATTACAGACCCTGGCATTCCACACTCAGTCTTGGGAAGGCCAGGTCAAGGCTGTCAGTAACTATCCCCTGTCAGGGCAGGTAGGTGGGGGCTTCATCCCCTCAACACACATAAATACCGGGCTGCCATACCTGTTTATTAATCTGTTATACACCACTCTGTCTGTGGTCCTTTAAATTCTAGACACTGGAGAAATGACTCAGTGGGTAAAGGTTTTAATTACCTCTAAGCTTGTTTACCTGAGTTCTATTCTCAGAACACACATGATGAAAGGACAGAACCAATGACCACAAGTTGTCTTCTGGATCCCATATGTGCACCATGGATGTATTCCCTTCCCCACATGGATATATACATACAAATGTAATAAAAATGTAAAAATCCAAAATTTTTGTTTGCAGTATTTCGATGTCTTTTCTCATGTCTACAGACCACCAATTCTTAGAATGCCAGCAATACCCTGTTGTGAAATATTCCTTTACACTGTGTAAAGATATGTCATTGTGACTGGTTTTAAAAGAAGCTAAATGGCCAATAGCTAGGCAGGGTTTTTTGGGGCAGAGAGAATGCTGGGAAGAACAAAGGGGAGTCTAGACTAGATGCCTCTTCTCTCATCTTCTCTACACTGCCATGTTACTGTGTGCTCACACACCTTCTTCCTGCATGGATAAAGGGAGAAAGCAAGAACAAGCACTCCAGTGCTTCTTCTTTAAGGATGCTAACCCATGGAATCAGGGCCCTAATATATGTTTGACTTTGCATACTTCCTCAGAGGCTCAGTGTTTAGTTGTGGGTGTCTGTTTCTCTTTCCATCAGCTACTAAATGAGGGCTCCATGATGGTGGATAAGTTAGTTGTCAATCTCATTATCAGGGAAGGGCATTTATGGTAGCCTTCCCATGGTTGCTCAAATTGTTAGTTGGGGTCAGTCTTGTAGATCTCTGGACATTTCTCTAGGTTCAGTTTTCTCTTCAAACCTATAATGGCTCCCTCTTTTAAGGTCTCTCTCTCTCTCTCCTTCTCTCTCTCTCTCTCTCTCTCTCTCTCTCTCTCTCTCTCCTCTCATCAATTCCTCCTCTGACTCAATCTTCCTAGTTCCACATGCTTTCCTCTCCTCCCCTTCTCTTTCTCCTAGTTCCCTCTCCACTCACTGCCCCCTACGCCCGCCCACTCC